TTCAGCCACATTGAGCAGATTGTTCCTGTGGAAGTAGATGAACCTTAGGATGCTATTTAAAGCTCACACTGTATTACATTGACAGGTATCTTCCACCCCCTAAAAAGAATCAAATTCTTCATTAGCAATGAAATTACAGACCAAACTTCTGAATCGTTCGCAGCCTTTTTTTTTATTCCAAACATGTATTTTTGTAAACCTGGCATTTCCCAAACAGTGCAAGTGAGTTAGAAGTGACTGAATAGACTCTAATACACGTGAAGTCATGGGGAGACACATTCCTCCACCAAAATTCCTCATGGGAAATGTACATGGATGCATCAGTCAAATTCAGGAAGTGAAAACAGCGTGGGTGCCCTGCCATGCAATTAATCACTCTTAAAGCTTTTAAACTCACTCTGCCAGTCAAACCGTGCACATTAAGTTTTGAAAAATCTTAGCAAAGTCTGAAATACAGATCATTGTGCTACAAAGCATTGCACTATGTACGAAACTTGCTTATTATCCCCTCATATGTTGAAAATCAGAAGACATTCTAGACAGTTCATTTTGCTCCTACTGGCTCTGTATCATCCCTTCAGCCATTCTTTGTTTCAGAAAATATTTTCCTGTGAATACTGTTACTCTACATATCAAAACAAAACGTTGTCTGAAACTCTGCATACTTGGAGCATTTCTGAAAAAAACCACACTTGCTTTCTGCCTTTTCTCTGATAAGGGCCATTCCCCTCAAATAACAATCATTTGTAGCACCTTTAAATTTTGGGAAGGGTTTGAACCAGGCGTATATTTCATCTGCTTCCCTTTTCACTCCTCATGTAATTCATATTTTAGTGCCTTCACCTGGCCATAATGCTGCACCCAAAAGGAAAAGTAGTAGAATAACCTTTCTTAAAAAATCACCATGCTAGGGTTCAACAGGTGGCAATGATGTACAAACATCATTTAGGAGATCTACCGTTCTTCTTCCACACTGAAAACAGGTCCCAGATGGTCCAGGAGTGGTAGGGATATTTTGTTTGTTTTTAACCTCTTTGCCTTTGGATCAAAGACCACAGAATACACATGATTTGGTAAAGACAGAGTTCCTAGTGAGTTTCTACAAAGGTCATCCAACTTCTGAATACCCCTGGTGACAGTGACAGGTATCCTGAAGAACTGCCTGATGAAGCTTTCAGTGACTTTGGTGGCAAGTGACTCTGGTATGTGCTTGTCATCACATGAAAGCAAATGGACCCAGCGCACTCCTCCTAGTGTTCCCTTGATTCTAGATCCTCAAGGCATCTTCTTTGTAAAGAAGTGGATCCACTTCGTAGATATTCCAAATTGTCTTGAGTCCCATGTAAATTGAGCATAAGGGGATCATTTTTTTTAAAATTATTTTTTTAAAAAAGGGCATTACTTTGCCCCATTTCTACAAAGGTCTTTATCATATTTAAAGAGCATCTTGTTTCTTCTGACAGCTGGTTAAAACTTTGTTGAATACACAACTAAAAGCAGACTGCAACAATGCTGCCTATGGATTTACTTACATGATTTCTCAGTGAACCCATGGAAGCAGGAAGGGTGAAAATTGGAATATACTGTGGATCTTACTAGAATATTCTGGAGAAGCAACACAGACACACCAACCCATTGGTATTACTCTGTCTGCTTCCCCTGAGAGTCTACTGAGAGCTTCTGAACTAGGATGAAGCTGGTGGAACTGCCCAAGGTGAGAGAGCTCTAACAATGTGCTTGACCATCCTTTTTCCATCACTGCACTGAACAGTTAACTCCAGGTCCCTGTAGCCTCACTTGCTACTCAGCATAATAAGACAAGTAGAGGCACCATCTTTCTAACAAACAGTTTCCTGGGATGGCCACCAGTATTTGTTCTGGGTGATGCCAAGTATGGTTTTCCTAAACACTGCCTTAGGAATTCTTAGTAACCACGAGTACACAAATACTCTGCGAGTGTACCATTCAGAACTCAGCTAAAGCAAATGGCCCTAGCTTGAAATTGCCCACAGTACCAACCACTCTTCCTGAAATAAGGCTTTCCCCTCTGGTTGGCAGAACTGTGGGCCTGCCAATCAGCTTTCTACACTCTCACCAAGGCATCTACACACTCTGCAAGAGGCTGGTTAGTGGCTATAAATGCATTTAGTCAAGGTTCCTGATGGGGTTGTCCTGGGCCTACTGCCTAAGGATCCTAAACAATTTATTGAAGGAAAACATGACATGATTAACCAGAGTCCATCAAATGAAAGCTGTAAAGGGCAAGTCATAATGGAATCCACACACTACATTCTATTTCAGGAGGGCTTGCTAATCTAACTCCCAAAGATCCTCGCCATTCAAAACTATGGAGCACAGGCCTATGCTGAAGCACGTGACATTGACATGCATCTGACTGACTTGACAGCAACTGCTTTTTGTTTGTCACCCCAAGGCAAAGTGTGCCTGTGGTGTTCTCTGGGGGAACTTCTAGCACCCAACACAGTACCTGACACACAGCAGGGGCCCCAAACCACTTTCCTTATTGCTTTTGATGAAACTCATAAGCAAAATCTGAGTGAGAATTGCTTTCTTTGTCTGACTCTTTCTTGGCGTGACCTCAGTGCCTCCACCCCTCAGTAAGAAGCAATATCCCTGATTCTATTCTGGGACCAGCCTGGTTTGTGCCATTGTTAATCTACCTTTTGTTGTCTATTCCTATGCTCACCAGAGAGGGAAGCATGATACATTCATTACCTTCCTACATCAAAGTCAACCACATCGCAAGAAACTAAAAGGCACCCAATGCTCCATACCAGGTCCCACATCTGCCCAGCACCCTCATAATTTTGCCAAAACATTAGATGTATTTGCAAGGAGTAGCCAAATATATGTATAGATAACCCGTCTTTGCCAAAGCTGAGTTCTGAGTTTTTCTACAATGTTCTCAGACTCCCATCCGATTAGCTTCTGGGAAATAAGGCCCGATCAGAATGATCCTTGGTCTTAGTTCTTATTTTATTCCTGTTTGATGTCATCTGCTTGTACCTGGGGCTCCAGTAGGCTGTAATGAGCAGTGAATGGCTCTTTTAGGCTCACAGATCCATGCTTTCCCTCTTAGTAGACGGCCATCCAGCAGTGGCCACAGAAGCTGTAGCTGCTGCTCATTATTGAGTGTTAACCACAGGCAAGATACCGTGCTGAGCACGCCACATCTGTCATCTCATTACACTTTTAGAAAATCCTCCTGCACTCAAACAGTGCAGCACAGTGCATCTGATAATAACCACTGTCAAACAGAGCTGGGATACTGAAATGCACAACATGGCATCCACCCTTCCACCCTTGCAGGGGTTATCGGGGGACATCAGTGCTCTGCCCAGACTCCTTGGGATCACTCTATATTGGGTGATGGGGGTGCACTTGGGCCCTCCTTTAGAGGCCTGCTCCTGGGCTGCTGGAGCCGTTTTGCTAGCAAGAACTAAGAGCAGAGAGTTTACATGGCCCCAAGTGCAGAAATCCCAAAGTCCAGCTCCTTTTTCTTAGGTTGTCACAACTCTGAGGCATAACTTACACTCCAGAGCTCCCCTGTGGGATCTGACTGAAGCCACTCTCCACAGGATTTCCCTGAGATTGTACCCTTGCCTGGCTTCCTCCCTCCCTTCCTTATTCTGCTTCTCTCACTCCCTCAGAGCACTTCCCTCATAAATCAATTACATGCAAATCCCTGTCTTTGGGTCTTGGGAACCCTACCTCAGATACTTTTATTTTTTAAATAAGGTTAAATGGTCATCTCTGGGAAGGGATCTGCAATTACCATTAGCTGGGAGAGCAAGACTGACAGGGGAAATGGACACCTCTCAACTCCAATGAAAGAACCCCGGTGGCACAGAGTTAAGTGGCAGGCTGCTAACTGAAGGGTCCGATCCCACCCAGTGGTTCCGTGAGAGAAAGTCCTAGCAATCTGCTTCCTTAAAGATCACAGCCTAGGAAACGCTATGGGGCAGTTCTGTTCTGTCACATGGGGTTGCTATGATTTGAAACAGACTCAGCTCCTGACAACAACCTCAAATTACCATGAAAAGGCAACGCCTCACAGCATTCAGCACAAATCTTCACTTGGTTGGCACTGATTCAGTCCTTGTGGCCTGTGGACTCTGAAGCACAACATCCAGGGGAAAATGCCATTCTGAGGTTTACCAGATGACCAAGTGGCATTGCTCCAAGCTTTCATGTGTGAATCTGAGTGAAGGACGGTGAGATATCTGCTGTGTAAAGGTGATGCACAGCAGACATGGTGCTAGGAATCAGATTTTTCCATCCAAATTCCTGCTGGGTATCTTCCAATGCAAGGTACATGCAAAAAACCACTTATAATTCATTAGTACATTACTTCAACAAACATGACTTCAGGCAACGACGATGTGAACTGTCTTAGGGGTCTTGCCACAGTTTATACGCAGCACTGGCAGCTTGGTGCATTTGTTACATGAGGTTTCTTCATCTTATTTTATCAGCAAGTCTTTTTAACAGCAAGTTCCAAAGTACAATAAGGTTTCTATCCTTTAAAATTTGTATGCAGGTACATGTATTTCTAAGATTTCAGGCCAGGTATCAGTGCTTGAGTGAATTATATAACTATTTAATAGAAATAATAAAACATCGATACAAATATAAAGACATAATCAGTATAAAAGGCTTATATTTATAAAAATACTTTAGGTAACAGTTTTCCCCTGAGGGTTGACCACGCATGTTGCATCCATAAATATTGCTCGGCTCTGTAGCTTGCTTTCCAAAGTTCAGAGTTCTTCTCTGAAAAGAAGTGGTAGTGGCTCCAGTCACGTGACCTGGCCTAAGTGGCTGCCTCGGGCTGGCACCGGGGCTTGATATAATGAGGAAGAGGACAGCATCAGTGGGGCCTCCGAAAAATCTGGAGAAGATTCTTTCTTCCAAATATGGAAGATACAAAGGTCAAGGACGACAGGCAAATGATCGGGTGATGTGACTGGTGTGGCAGCTCACTGGTTTTTCTGGACCCAGTCCCAACTGTCTTCATTCTCCTTCCGGTTCTTCTCAGCTTCGATAATTTCTTTGTACCTTCGGCGAAAGAAGCCCATCTGAAAGGTAGAAAGAGGAGAAGTCAGGCTTGTAATGCTGGGGGATCAGCCATTTTGATTCCATGGCAGCTGGCCTGTGCATAGAAAACAAAAAACCCAACCAGTTACTGTTAAGTTGATTCCAACTCATGGTGACCCCTTATGTGTCACAGCAGTACTGTGTTCCATTAGGTTTTCAATGTCTGATTTTTTTAGAATTAGATTGCCAAGCCTTTCTTCTGAGGTGCCTCTGGCTGGACTTGAACTTCTAACCTTTCAGTTAGCAGCCAAGTGTGTTAACTGTTTGCACCACCCAGGTACTCCTGACATGTGCATAGACATGACCTATAATCACAGTCCTGGAATGGCTTGGCAAATTCAGATTAGACTGTTTTAGATAACACATTGGAAAGAGAAGCATTATGTAGGGCTCGTTTTCAAAATGCTTGGGCTTATTGCAGGCTGCCTTATGATAAGATGTTTGCTTCTTGTGAAATGCTTCTGGTATAGTGTTTCCCAAACTGTGTGCTGAGGAACCCTAGTTATTGAGAGTTATTCATAGGTGTTTGTGAGTGAAAATGTTTCAAGGTCAAATAAGTTTGGGAAGTGCTGTATGCTTTTCTTTTTAGAAATTCATAATGTACAGTAGAACAGTAAAGGATCTGGTAACTACGACACGATGAATCCCAAGGACCTGATATTTTCCAAGCTTATTCAACTTTCGATATGCTTATTAATATCTCCGGAGATATTGGCCATCCATAGAAGTTGGTAAATACTGCTCTAACATAATAGGCTTGTGGAAGATTCTGCAAGTCCTCATTCTTTCTTTTTCACTTTATTACTTTTATTACAATAAACCCTATGGAGCGCCTACTTCACACCACATACTATTACAAGAGCTTTTTCTTTTTCTTGAAATAATATTTTATTGTGTTTTCAGTGCAGGTTTACACAGCAGTTTAGGTTCCCATTCAACAGTTTCTACACAAATTGTCCAGTGACCCTCATTCGTGTCGCTGCCGGGTGGATCTCCTTCCCCTTGGACCTGTGGGATGCATGCTGTCTGCACACCACAGTCACCAGTGTGTGCTCTCATGCAACTGTCATTTACTCCTGACCTAGTTTCCTTTACCTTAGCTCTGAAAAGACCCTCCCCTCTCATGTGGCATTTGGCCTTAGGGCTTTTTACATATGGTAAGATGAGGTTCTAGTTTTTCTCAACAGTTATCATAGGCACTCCAGTCAAACATTTAATTTGTAGCCCAAAGCTTACTCTCCCTCCCATGCTCAGGGACACTTGGCCTCTCTTGTCCTTTGCTTACCAGCACTAGTGCCCTCTGTCTCTGAGCCAGACATCCCTCCTTGCACTGCCCTTGGACATGACTGACTGGAGCGGGTGTACAATTATCCCAGCTCCCTCTCTCCCCCCGTGTTGATAGCTGTGAGGGGCATGTTCTAGCAGAGTTTCCCAGTGGCACCTGTCCTCATTGGGAACCAGCCTGATAACATGGCCCTCATTCGCTTCTTTCTTTTCCTGACCTCACTTTACTGCATCCTCCTCCTGTTTCCTGAGACCATTTCCCAATAACCAGCTTGCACCCAAATGCTTGCTACAATTCTCTTACAAAGGGAAATTCACCATATGGTCCTACAATGTCATTGGCTTACAGCTCCTATAGTTATAATTGAGAGCCCTCAAGATTAGCAATTTTCTCAGTCTACTGACAACAGTGAACGCACATTTAAAACATGCCGTAAACAACGTATCAAGTGAACACAGCTCTATGGGCACATCTAACTTCTTCTTTCTTGCCTGTGGATTCATCCTCATGCATCTTCACTATGAGCCAAGCATCCAGGGAAGCATCCACCAGCAATCACCCTAATGATTATGAGTGCTCCAAAAGAGGGAGAGGCAGGCGGATGGGTCAAGATTTGTCTTGCTGCCAGCACCATCTTCCGATCCCCTAAAAGGGGGCTTATTGGTCTACCTAAGATCAGAGGTGCCAAGAGAGCTGCCAGGAAAGAATTAGGTAAGCATCTCCCCCCACCTTGCCAAAGAAATTCTGAATGTTCATTTCAAGTGGTGTGAACAAGGTGGTGCAGTTTGAATGCATGGGAAGGGGCAGACACCTTCTTAAGTGAACAAGGCAAAGGTCTTCTGTTTTGAGCTTCAATCCTCAAAGGCGGTTTTGCAAATAGACATCGAGTTACCAGTGTTTCTAGCCATGTAAATTTCTTCCCAGCATCAGACCACATCCATCAGAACCCCACTTCCACAGCCGACTCCCCACACATATACTCTTCTTTCTGCAAACACCCATCACCTTGTCCCTTCTGCAAGGGATGTGGGAAGGGAAAATGTTCTTGGCAGTAAGAAAAAGGTGGTTGTCATCCCCACAAAGCACATCTACATAAGGCCATGAAAGCAGACCAAGCAGCATAGGCTTGAAATATCATTATTTAAAGACAAAGATGTGGCTAACCAGGCAAACATGTCATGTACTCCAAGCACCCTTTCAAAAAGGTAGACTATAAAATTGTGTACATCCTTTGATTACAATTCTGTGACCTCCAACCCATACCTCCATTAACCAACAAGTATATGGGAGAAAAAGGACTAGAGGGAAATATTACAACAAAACATCAACAGTGGTTATAACATTAACAGCTGTGGAATTATGTTTTTTCCCCCCTCTATTTTCACATTTTTGAAAATGCAGTTAGAATATTTTTTTAATAATGAAACAGGAAAAAAAAAAACTATTAAAAAAGCAATGTTTAAATATTTAGAAAGGTTTACATTCATCTGGCAGATTCATCTGTGATTTCTTAGGAGACCATATCTGACAAGATGAAAGTGAACATTTACCAGACACGTTTGCCAAGTGCTGTGCAGAGCCCCACACAGCAGTATCTCATTTGTTCTTATAACCCTCTATGCAGAAGGTACTAGTATGACCACCTCTACTTTACACACAAGGAAACTATGTCCCAAAGATTTGCTGAAATCACAAAGCAGGTCAGTGGTGCCGACTCTGTACCAGTCTTTCCACACAAGTGACAATGGGGCATCTCATGGAACTTTGACATTTCCTGTCTAGAACTATCTACTCAACAAACAAACAAACAAACAAACAGATAATTAACCTAAACACATACCTTTAGCAAGAAGTATCAGACAACTGGTCTACCTCATTGCCTGAGCACACAGGGTCGACAGGGGCATGGAAGAAAAGTTGCCACCCTTTCACATTCCATTTATCAGAATCGCTGGGTAAATTCCCCATTTGTTAAAGCTCATCCCTACCATGAACACAGGGTGATAAAGATTAAGTTTCCAAATAAACATAAACATCCATATAACAAAACATTTCTTGCTATCTGGTTAAAGAAATTAGCACTGGTGAGGGATGACCTGGATATCAGAAACCTGGGTTCAGTCTCTGCCCTGGCATCACCAACCTGAGGACCTCAGAAAGTCCTTTGGCCTCTTGGGGCCTTAGCTTCCCTTACCCAAAATGAAGGCGTTCACCTGAGTGAAGTCTTCTGTGGGCCCTGGTATTCTCTGACTAAAGGGGTTTCAGAAATCTTAACACATCTCCTCAAAACAGAAAATCAACTGAGACGTCTAAAGTAGCTCTAAACCAACAGAAATGGCAAGTGAAGTTTTGTTTTCTAGGCCCTGGCTGTGGCTTTTTTTTTTTTTTTTTTTTAAAAACAACTCTCAAGCTAGCATGCTGGTTACACAGCGTCAATCTCCATAAACCATTCATTGTGGAAGGAAGCCCATCACAATGTTCTCTATTTGCTGTTCCTCAAATACAAAGATGACCTGTGTTCCCACATCTCTGGTCTTGACATCCCTGGGCTGCTTTTCCTCCCCTTGCCTGGCTAACCCCGCTCACCATTCAGGGTTGTGCTTCCTGTCTCTTCGTGCCTAGGCTGAGGTACCTCTGGGTTGGCCTCCCCTACAACAGCATATGCATATGCTGCATTGTCTTAGGGTAATCCTTGGGTCACAAGTCTGTCTGGTTCGCCACCATATCCTTCTTGCCTACCACCAGCCCCAGTGCACAGCAAGTGGCCTGTTAGTGTTTGTGGAAAGCATGGGAGCATCACTGGAGGGCTGAGAGTCCTCGGGTTTCTGGTTTGATTTTTGCTCTTGGGGTCTTTCTCAGGAGCAAAGTGAATTGCAGTCAGTACCCTCATAGATGGGGTCTTAGTTACAGAAATACCAGAAGTGAGTGGCTTTAAAGAGCAGAAATCTATTTTCTTATAGTTTAGAATGCTGGAAATCTGAATTCAGGCCTAAGGCATTTGACTGCTAACTAGAAGGCTGGCGGTTCAAACCCACCAGCCACTCCTTGGAAGGAAGATTGGGCCTGGGCAACCTACTTTCATAGAGATACCACCTCAGAAAAGCAACAGGGGTCTCTATGAGTCGCAATTGATTCAATGACAGTTAAGGTTTTTTTTTTGTTTTTTGTTTATTTTATTACAGGGGAGCCCTGGTGGCTCAGTGCCTAAGGCTTTTGACTACTAACCAGAAGGTTGGTGGTTCAAACCCACCAGCCATTCCTCAGAAGGAAGGTTGGGCAATCTACTTCTGTAAAGATTTATTGCCTTGGAAACCCGATGGGCATTGCTATGAGTTGGAATTGACTTAGTGGCGGTGGGTTTGGGCTTTTTTTTTTGGTTTTAGGTATAGGGCAAGGCTCGCTCTATGCTGGTTCTGGGGGAAGATCCTCATCTTCTTTAGCTTGTGTAGCCCTGGCTTTCCTTTTAGGTCCTTGGAAATTGCTATGTGGCATCTACCCTTCCCTGTGTGTGCTTCTTCTGTGTCTAATCTGCCCTTTTTATAGTTCAGACTTCATTAGGTTTAAGATACATGTACACTGATATGACCTCATAAATATAATAAAGAAAGCCCTATTCCCAAAATGGATTACATCCATAGGTGTATACACACACACACACACACACACACACACACACACATATAAACCTACTACCAT